TTTAAAGATTTATTTATTTATTCATATAGAACTTGGGTAAAGGCCAGAGATGCGGAAGGTGAGAGGATTCACCAGAGACAGATTGGGGAGCAGAACAGGCAGATCAACGAAGTACACTGCTGAAGGGAGCAGCAGGCAGGCCAGGAGAGGTCTGCCACCCCATGTGGAGCTCCTCTGGGGCAGGCGGGGATCAAACTCATGCAGAAGTGGCTTAAGCTTCTTAGTGTTGTGCTTTAACCTGATGTGCCACCAGGGAGGGCATCAGTGCTGTCTTTTCATGCTTGGCCCTCTGAGCTACCTCTTCAGAAGCATCCTGACAGTTTCTGTAAAAAACACTACTGCCATTTTTACTGAAATTATATAGGAAGAACGAACACCTTTGTGTTGAATCTTTCCATTCATGAATGTGATATATCTTTCTATCTTTGGTTATTCTTTAATATCTTTCAGTTAAGTTTTGAAATTTTCTTCAACAACGTCTTTTTGAGTAGAATTCTAAACAAGAATTTTGTTATTATTCTGAAGCTATCTTAACTTTCATTTGTTACTACTGTATTAAAACACTTTTAATTTTTCTATATTGACTTATACTTAATGTGCTTGCTGAATTTTTATTACTTTTAATAATTTGTCACTTCTGGATTTTTCTCTATAGGGAATACATGGTCTACAAAACATGTCAGTTTTAGAATTTTTAATATACTCTTCTAACTACCTTTCAGTTGTGCCCCTTGTTCCTGGGAGTCCTCCCTTGGTGATGCAGGGGTCACAGTCTCAGCTCTATCAAGCTATTGCCAGCCACTGGGGCCTGAGTTCAATCCCTGGCCAATGTGCTAACCCACATGGTGAAGCAGACCTCTCCTGTCTCACCAGCTGCTCCCCTCAGCAGTGTATTTCAGTAGATCCTCTTGTTCTATTCCCCATGATGTCTCTGGTGTACCCTTGCACCCGCCATACCTCTGGCCTACACCCCAGTTCTTGTATGCATAAATAAATAAAAATAAATCTTAAAAATAATACACCCCAAAACACTGATTGAAAAAGATACCTGCACCCCCGTGTTTATTGCTGCTTTATTTATAATTGGAAAAACATGGAAGCAGCCCAAATGCCCAAAAGTAGATGACTGGATTAAAAAGATGTGGTACATATATACAATGGAATATTACTCAGCAACCAAAAAAGAGGAACACATGTCTTTTGCAGCAACTTGGATGGAGCTGGAAAAGATCATGCTTAGTGAGATAAGCCAGAAAGAGAAAGAAAAATACCGGATGGTTTCACTCATAGCAGGAGTATAATGGACCAGGCGAGAAAATAACAAAAATAATAAACAACCATATACCAGAGACATTTTGCGGGAGTGGGGTGGGGAATGGGATCAAAAACGGGGAGGATTGGGGGTGGGGAGGGAAGTGCACGGGATTTTGATGATGGCACACGGGTGACATGGTGATGGGAAGCCCGTGGGGATTACAATTGAGATGGGAAAAAAAAATGTACAAAATGATGTAAAAATAAACTGCTAGAAAATAAAAAAAAATTAATAATAAAAAAATCACTGTCTTTCCTCCATATCTCTCCATACGTTTTTATACCAAAGGGAAGGGTTCAGAAGATAGTAAGACTAATTTCCTAGGTCACAGGCTGAAGTATTATGCCAATTTACAAAGAAGATTAAAAAACTAAGAAAAATTGATAGTTTACCATTAATTAGAAATAATTTCAGTGTACTACCATCTTTGACTAATAGCTATCTAAATAACCATCTGATACAAAGTAAGTAAAAGTGAGATTTTACTAGTCTTGAAATTACTATTTACAGCATACAAAATCCTAGGGAGACCTCTTGTGGTCAACATTAAGCATAACCCAAAAGGAGAAAATGCATGCCCACCATACATCTGACAAAGGGCTACATATCAAAGATCTAAGACATACCCATAAGCAACAGACACATGTTCAACGTCAGTTATTGTCAGGGAAATGAAAATCAAAAACACAATGAGATACTATTTCACACCTGTGAGAATGACCCATTAAAAAGACGAAAAACAAAGAATTCTATGATGAGGAGGAGGAAAAGGAACCCTCTTCTATTGGTGGGGCGAGTGCACACTGTCCAGTGCCCATGGAAAATAGTTTCTGAAAAGAGGTTTCTGAAAAGATTAAAAATTGATCTGCCATACAACACAGCAATTCTACTCCTAGTTATCTAACCAAAAACTACAAAAAAAGCAATTCAAAGAGAAATATACACTCCCATGTTCAGTGAAGCACTGTTTATAAAAGTCAAACTATGGAAACAACCTAAGTACCCTATTACAAACTGAGTGGATCAGGAAAATGTAATATATATAATGGAATACTATTCAGCTATCAACAAAGATAAACTCCTGCCATTTGTGGCAACATGGATAGAGGTAGCAGGAATTATACTAAGTGAAATAAGTCAGAAGGAGAAAGACAAAGTACTAAATGGCACCATGTATTTATGGAATACAGAGAAACAAAACAGGATCAGATAAAGCCAAACTAAGAACAAACCCCAGAAAGTGGACTATAGAACTGAGGCTTACCAGAGAGGAAGGGATGAGAGCAAGGGAGAAGGGAGCATAGTGGACTGTGATGGTGAACTAGGGGCATCTTGGTGGTAGGGTCTGTGTGGTAACAGCACCTGAAAGGAGAAATCCTATACATCTAAAACAGAAATACTGATGTAAGCCAATGTTATCTTTAAAAAAAAACACAGTGGGGGGGCCCTCCCTGGTGGTGCAGTGAGTTAAAGCACAGCACTAAGAAGCTAAAAGCCACTTCATCATGAGTTCGATCCCCGCATGTCCACATGGTGCAACAGACCTCTCCTGACCTGTCCACTGCTCCCCTCAGTGTACTTCATCGATCTGTCTGTTCTGCTACCCATTCTGTCTCTGGTGAGTATTCTCACCCCCTGTAACTCTGGCCTGTATCCCAGTTCTATGTGCATAAATAAATCGTAAGGAAAAAAAAAAACTGTGGGAAGAAGAAAACAAAGAATACCCAATACTTTAAAACAGATATTCTATCATTTCAAGCCATTCTTCTGTCTTTTCTCATATAGCTTTCATATTCCTTCAATATTAATGAAGTATCAACCAATAGTTATTTTGTAAATCTGCTTTTACCTTCAAATTTACAGTGGAAGAAAAAGCAGAGTCGAAGTCTGAAACACAAAAAATCACCTATCACTGTTTAAAACAGACAAGATACTACCAAAAAAACCCACAATTTCACCTTGAAAATTCAGTGCTAAGTTTGTTAGCAGTAAAATTGAACAGATTTCTGGCAAGCTATATTCTTCACACCTATTTAAAAACATTCCCTACCCCTGCGTTGCTGTTGTTATTTTCATTTTTTCTTTCTCATATGGCTTTAACCGTACCTCAGAATAATAAAGGTTAGGTTTTATGGATATTGACGTGGGTATGCTAGAATTTGGGGGAAGAATTTAACTAAAACCTAAATGCCAAAAATTAAATTAAATTTAAAAATAGACAAATGAACTAAAATAAAATACAGATGACTAAGTCAACAATGGTTCAAACAACCTTCCTATAATATAGTTATGGTAATGTAAACTGATAGTACCAACAGGCAATCAATATTTATAAAAGGTCAAACACTCTGACCCAGTAATTGAATTTTTAGAAATTTAGCTTAAGGAAATAATCAAAAATGCATGCAAATATTTCTATTCATAAATATGCATCATAGCAATAGTTTTAATCTGAAAAAAATAAGTTCAACTTAACAAAATAAAACTGGATAATTATAGCCCATTTATATGACAAAATATGATAGCAGTTGTACCTACTGAAGTTTTAGCAGATGAAATATTTTCTAGCAGATGAAATATTTTGCTTTAAATAAATAATTCAGGGATATAGTAGTGGTACAGATAAAATAAGATTGTTTACATCAATAAAGGATAAAGCTACCTGATGGATTCATGGTGTTTATTACACTATTTTGTGTATTTTGTATATGTTCTCTATAATTTTCCATAATAAAGTAAAAAAACATATTGGGAAATTTAAGGGGAAAAAAGAGACTACAAAACCAATATTGCAACATGAATTCAAATTTATAAATGTAGAAAGATAATATATACATACATGCAAATAATATATTTACATGCAAATAATACACCAAGAAATTTGAATATTATTATCTGGACTCTAGGATTTGACATTACTTTGTAACTCCCAGCTTTCCCTAAATTAATATGAATTAGTGTTATAATCAGGAAAATATATTAATGAAAGCTACTTTGAAACTTCAATTCAAATGAAGAAGAAAACAGTCTTAATTTTAAGGACTTTAATTTTAATCATATAACTTGACTTTCTTCTGATTTCATTCAACACAGCTTTTCCACCCTTCAATACCCTTCAAATTCTTCAAAATAAAAAGTTCTCTTCACTAAAGTCTGATTGCCTTTCCTATCTCTTTCCCACCACCCTCCACAAGGTAGAACATTCAAAATAGGCATCTTCACTTAATACAACATTCTTTATGAGTTAAATGCAGTTTTGCCACTTTCTGTTGGATTATAAACTCCCGTATATACTACCATAACTTCACATCATCTTCTTTTAAATGATACAGTGAAGCACACTGCTTCATTAATAGAAGACATGACCTTAAGTCTAACAAAACCACAAATTGAAACTGGTAGAACAGATAAAGCAATTTCAAAATTATATAAACTTTCTAAGAAATGAATTCTAAATGATCCCTAGAAACTGACAATTAGCAATTAAATAATATCAGTAAGTCTCTTCTAAAGACCTATATTAAGGTGATATGGGTCATTTTATTTTTAATTTTAGAATTTTCCACTACTTTTGTAGAAATATTTTTGTAGCTAAAAACTTTTCACCAATTTTAATAAACAGGAGTTTTGGAAATAAATCTGGGTTTCACAAGCAGTACTCTTTTCCAGTGATGAATCCACTTACCTAATAGCTGTGGTTCTGTGGATAAGCATCTCTGTTTGCTCCGACAAGTGTGATGGAAGCAGCAACTCCACTGGCTGAAGGCACAATATCCGAGTTTCCAGCTCTGAACGAGAAACAGAGTCCTGGAAACTATCGAACACAACCTCACCTGTAGCAGGCTGCACTCCCTGAAAACAAATCAAAATATAATGTCCCAACTATTATATATTTTTTTCTAACTATAACAGCATAAGTAAAATGGAAATTGTGAAGATGACATTATTTTCTAGTATATACTCCAGTTCTAAAGTATTTGAAGACATTTTAGTGAATTCCAAGACTCTTATATAAGAAATCTGATTCACCAATATATAAACTATGCTAGATGGAATTTTAGAGACATGCTGAATTCAATTCCCAAGTCTTTGTGAACTGTTTGTGACTTGTAACCAAACTCTGCTAGGCCTCAGTTTCCCTTCTTTTTAATTGGGAATGTATCAGCTTACTTCTTTCATGGAGTTACTGAATTTATCAAGTTAAAAACAAACACAGGTGTTATGTAAACTATGAAGTTCTATACAAATAGTTGCTGCCATAACTGAAGTAGTAATATATTCCTATTAATCTGACACAAGAGTGTAAATAATTAAAAGTATAAAGAAAAACTAGATAAATTAGAAAAGTTAAAAACTAGATAGCAAAGATAAACTAGAAAAGTTCACGGTTTGAAAAAGTCAGTAACTTACCCAAGGTCACAATAAGTGGTAGAGCCAAGATGTATCCCCATGTTGTCTGACTCCACAGCCCACACTGTTACCAATACTGGTGGCGCAAGGAGTTAAAGTTTCAGTGCTATCAAACTATTACCAGTCCCTGCTGCAAGAGTTCAATCACTAGCCAAGAAACTAAACTCATATGGTGCAGCAGACCTCTCCTGACCCACCTGCTGCTCCCCTCAGCAGCATATCTCAGTACATCTGCCTGTTCTGCTCCCATTCAGTCTCTGGCGAGCCCTCTTACCCCCACACCTTTGGCCTACACGCCAGTTCTTGTACATGTAAATAATTTTTTTTAAAGAAATGCATGGGGCTAATTATAGACTACATAACTAAGGGAAGGAAAAATGACCAATGTCTAGTCATACTCTGCTGATGGAGTCACACAACATCTTTAGAAAAAAACTGTTGTTGTTTTTTTTTTAAGATTTATTTATTTTTCATACAGAACTGGGGTACAGGCCAGAGGCTCAGGGGCGGTGAGAGGCTTCACCAGAGACAGAGTGGGGAACAGAACAGGCTGACTGACGAAGTACACTGCTGAGGGGAGCAGCGGGCGGGTCAGGAGAGGTCTACCACACCATGCGGTCACCTCCAAGGCAGGCGGGAATCGAACTCATGCGGAAGCGGCTTTAGATTCTCAGTGCAGTGCTTTAACCCGCTGCGCCACCAGGGAGGGCCAAAAAACTGGTATTTTCTAGCAATGTTAAAAGTCCTCATATCCTGTCAACTCAGGAATTCCTCCCCTAGGTATGGACTCTTTCTACCCTCTCAGACACGTGTATTCCAGAAAACATACAGCAAGATGCTTAGCAGCATCTTTCAAATCAGTTCAAACTTTTTTTTTTTTAAAGATTTCTTAATTTATTCATACAGAACCGGGGTACAGGCCAGAGATGTGGAGGGTGAGAGGATTCACCAGAGACAGAGTGGGGAGCAGAACAGGCAGATCGATGAAGTATACTGCTGAGGGGAGCAGCGGGCGGGTCAGGAGAGGTCTACCACACCATGCGGATCTCCTCCGGAGCAGGTGGGTATTGAACTCATGTAGAAGTGGCTTAAGCTTCTTAGTGCTGTGCTTTAACCCACTGTGCCACCAGGGAGGGCCCCGAACATTTTATTTTTATAGTAAGTATTGTGTTTATTTCACAGATGATTGTTAACGCAGATTTGTGATTAAGTAGAGGTTTTTAAAAATCATAAGATATGCAAAAAGAAAAATTCATGAAACAGAAATGTATGGTTTAATTAGGACAACCACTGAAGTCAGTAAATATAACACTATCTACAGAAGTACTTTCATGTGTCCCTTCTCTGTAGAGGTAACTATAATCCAAACTTTTATGGGTCTTGCTTCTTTTTTTTTTCTATTTTGCTGTGAGATTCATGTGTCATTTTAGTAGTACTTTCACTGCCATTGCTAAGTTGTATTTTCCTTTTGTGATCTCTAATTTATTCATTCTTTTGTCAATGTACATTATGGTTCTTTTCAGTTTGGGATATATAAACACTGTTGATAGAACTTCCTTAGTTAAAGCCCAGAGGTCTTCTCTAAGTGCCTAGCTTGAACCCAAATATTTTTGTTTACTAGAGGCACTTTTTTATCTTAAAGAATCACTGCCTAAATTTAGTAAACTCAGAGGTCAGGAGTGTGTGTACACTAGTGTCCCCTTATTCTTGGAGTATTATTTTCCAGACCTCCATGGTAGGATGGACCTCTATATAAACTATGTTTTTCCCTATAAATAATATCTTTGATTAGGTTTAATTTAAAAATTAAGCCCAGTGAGAAAGAAACTATAGCTAATAAAACAATTATAAAATACACTGTAGTAAAAGATACTTGAATGTATTCTCCCTCTCAAAATATCTTATTGTAATATTTTTTTGAATGGAGTCTGACAGGTAGCAAATCACAGAAAACAAAACTGCAGATAAGGAAGGTCTAGTATACATACAGAAGTTTATTTCCTAACCTGCAACCCAAACTTAAAGAGCTATTTAGAGAATTCAAATAGTAAATTTTTGAGTCACTCAAATTCCTTTTGCTTTTTTTTAAATCAGAGAAGTGGGCTATATTATAAATCCTTCAATATCAATTACTTTGTGCAATGTTTGACACTGAGAAACCCAAAGTCAGTCTGTATAAATTGTATTATTCAAACTGAAAGCAGAGGGTCTAATCACAGTGGCAATACAACAATAAAGTCATTGATTTCTGACTATCAGCATGGAAAAGGTGACTGTTAGGTAGTACTGGAAAACATGTGATATGTCACAATAAAAATAATCCAGCAAGATGAGACCCTCGCTGGTGGCACAGCGGGTTAAAGCACAGCACTAAGAAGCTAAAGCCACTTCCACAAGAATTTGATCCCCGCTTGCCCCGGAAGTGACCCACATGGCTAGGCAGACCTCTCCTGACCAGCCCACTGCTCCCCAGAGCAGTGTATTTCAGTCAATCTGCCTGTTCTGCTCCCCACTCTGTCTCTGGGTGAAGCCTCTCACCATCCCTGCACCAATGGCCTGTACCACAGTTCTGTAAGCACAAATAAAAAAAATAAAAAAAAAGTCATCCAGCAAGAACAGTATACTGGGTACAAAAAAAAAAAAGGGAGATACCTCCCACCACACTGAATTGGAGAAGTTAGGGCAAATTCTGAATGCCCTGTCCAGTATTTTTACCCAAGAGGCAGGCACGCAGGAGCAACCTAGACCGTGACCTGGAAAACTGGATATCATCACTCCAAACGTGTCCCAAGAGAACATTTCAGTGGCAAATCTTCATTTCTTTTTCACATGCCAATTCTTAGACTAGATTAACTTTGGCAGTAGGCCAGAGATTATTTCTAAAAGCATCAAGTAGGAGATGTATAATTATCAACTCTGTTCTTTAAAGTGAATTTCAGATAACTATAAAATAGCACCTTACATATGTTAATGCTTAAAAGCAAACAACCTTACTATTTATAAATAGATTGAATTGTCCATGGCTAATTAAAAGTACTTTGCAAGGATACAAGTCATTTAGAGTCATACAACAGTAATGCAAATGCTTAGAGAAAGGCTTACAGGTTAAGCAAATGTCAAGTTAGCGCTGCGAGAATAAGGTTTTCAAAGGTACTCTGGGAACATTTGGATGGTGAGAATTTTTGTTGATATTGTAACAGATTGCAAAAGTTAGGAAAAATAAAGAGAATTAGTTATTATTTAGGCATCAAGTCCTACTTTTGAAACAGGACATCAAAGGCCCTCTCTGAAGGTTCCTGAAGCTTGTAAGATTTTTGCAAAGTACAACTGGATACTTGTAATTAGTAAAATTTTCTCACAAACTGCAAGAATGCAAGGTCAATAAAACTATCATTCACAAATTATATTTGTTTGAAAGACTGATCATAAAAATTTCAAACGGAGTTTTATAATATAGTTTTATAATGACCAACTATCATTGTCTCTTACTATCCTTTATAACACATTCTAGATACATCAATCCCACAGTCATTTGTGTTTAATTGCAAATCTGTAAAATCCCTTCCCATCCATGCATGTGTTGGCTCAGTGTTTATTCTATCTATATATGTTGTCCACATACATGCCTGTCACTATGTGTATCTTCAATATTAAGTTCCTAGAACATATGAACAGAAACTATTTGACTCTGCATAATACAGAGTACCAGGTAGCCAACAGAGAAATCTATAACTACTGATTTAATACAATGAGAAAGTCTTCTAGTATAACTGCTTGAGGGCACACTTCATCAAATAAGTGTCCTTACTGTAAGCCATCTATTACTCATACAAGAGAAACTGTGAATATCTATCATTAATTCTACACCTACACAAGTACTTACCATAATTCCAATGAAAATGTCCCCCTTTTTTTTGTCCTTAATGCTTTCCTTGTTTTCACAAATACACATCAGATAGCTGGTAGAAGTATCAGTCATTATCTCATCAACATTTATAGTATCGTCGAGCTTGATAAGAGGATTCACATGTAATAACTATTAAGGAAAAATAGAAGCTACATTCCCTTCTGTTAATTATTTTCTCTTTTAAAACAAGGATTCAGGTCCTTCCTGGTGGCACAGTGGGTTAAAGAATAACACTAAGAAGCTAAAGCCACTTCAGCATGAGTTTGATCCCCGCCCCGGAAATGACCCACATGACAAGGCAGACCTTTCCTGACCTGGCCGCTGCTGCCCTCAGCAGTGAACTTCATCAGTCAAGCCTGTTCTGCTCCCTCCTCTGTCTCTGGTGAACCCTTTCACCACCCCTGCACCTCTAGCCTGTATGCCAGTTCTGTATGCATAAATAAATAAATCTTAAAAAAAAAAAAAAAAACCAAGGATTCATCTTCCTGATCATTTTTGGTTTGTGCAAAAATCTTCATTCTTCTGATTTACTCTGATCACAGTCACATAATTATCTTTCCTAAGTTTTAAGGCTCATAAGAACTGATAACTATAATCTTTTTACTTTCAAAGGCCTAGGAGACTACTTTACATGTTGTGGAAGCCCAACTATTAATTCTCTTCTTTATCTGGATAATGCTACTGAGACTTGAATCCTTAAAAATACCACAATATTTCATTCTGTGAGTCAAAGCTAAATATACTAAGATAGTGCAAATTACTATCTTCTGTTAAAGTGCCTAACAGTTCCCCCAAATTGCAGAATTTTTAAACGAAAACCAGACCAGAAAAGACATAGTATGGTGTGTGTGTGTGTGTGTGTTATGTTAAATTATCAGCAGAAAAGCTGAGTTTGGATGAAGACATCCAACTTGGGCATAGCAGGTAAGAATTATGGCAGCAGCTAAAGTCAGGGTGGGTATTATTTTAGAAGGAGTATTCAAATAAGAGACCCAAGATCAGGCAAAAAAAACAATAAGACAAAACAATAAAAGGTCCTGATAGCAGAACCATCTTAGAAAACAACACTGTTAATGTTTGGAATACATACTGTGTGACAGTCAGAACCTATACATGACATTAATGGAACAAACAGTATTTATAATTTAGGTGGACACTAAGTAGGTCTCAAATTCAGCAGATCTGAAATGAACAAAAACAGAAATATGGGCCCTCCCTGGTGGTGCAACAGGTTAAAGTGCAGCACTGTGAAGCTAGCTGTAGCCGCTTCAGTACAAGTTCAATCCGTACCCTTGGAGGTGACCCACATGGCACAGAAGACCTCTCCTGTCTCACCCCCTGCACCCCTCAGCAGTGTATTTCATCGATCTGCCTTTTCTGCTCCCCACTCTGTGTCTGGTGAATCTTCTCACTGTCCTTTCACCTCTGGCCTGTACCCTAGTTCTGCATGCATAACTATGTGCATCTTTAAAAAAAAAAAAAAAACAGAAATATATTATGAAGCATACAATAAATGAAGGTGCCCTACTATTATGTTTTATAAGCAGTTAGCTATTTAACTTTGTAGCTTTGCTCTAACATAATGACATTTATAAGTAACTTCTTAGGTCTACACTAGGAAGTGCTTGTTAGCCATAAGCACCTAACCACTACTACCCACAAAAGTAGGGGATATATGATTTCCAGTCGTTGCTAACCCACCACATTCACTTCTCAGCAGTTTTCTTGCTCTTAAAGTATAATAAACTCACCTTTTACTATGGCATTTGAAAAAGGCTTGATTCCAGCCATTATCAACCCTTCCCTCTTCATAATGCACTAATCAAAGGTCAAAGAAACAAAGAAACCATCCTGCCTCTTCAAAAAGGCAGCCATTCAAAGAAGAGGTTTAAAAATACTGTGACTTAAAACAAAGCCTTTATAGAGGAAAGAGGATATCTTCTCCAATGAGTGTAGATTTTGTATAAAGGGCAGTCAACTTTCGGGTGAAAAGTGAACTTTTATTGTCGCCAATGGCCTTTAATGCTGCTGTTTCAGTTTGCTTCACAACTCCCACCTTCAAAGTGAAAAATATTAAATGTCAAATATCAAATATGATGGAAATTTTTTTAATTCAATTTTAATTCTGAAACATTTACCAGAGGTTTTTTTTTTACTTAATCTACTAAATTAAAAATTCATGAAAATACAATGCTAATAATTATGACAATTTCCTTTTCACCAAAATGTTACATTCAAAAACCAAATACAGCCTACCTACCTAATAATGTTTCTAATCTTTTGGAAAGAATCCAATTCACTCTTCTTCCCACAAGATAAAGCCAAAGCTTACCTTATATCCTTTTGACACAAGGCGGCGTACATGAACAAACAATCTGTGTGTAGGTATGCTTGCTGTCATAAAGTTGTGATCTAAATGGCAATAAATATTGAGCTCCCGTGCTGCAATCTAAAAACAATTAACAAGAGACAATCAATAAATTTGTATGTCAAGATTCCCTATGTGGTGTTTGTATATACACTTTATTAAAAATCCATCAACATATACTATAGCTAGAATTTGTGCACTTCTTTATCTCTGTTCTAGCAAAAAAAGGTTTAAATACATTTCCTGTGCAGAAGTCTACGGTTTAATTGATTTTGGTGGCTCCCATGGCCTATCTCAGGGCCAACATCTATATCTATAAGCAATTCAGAAAGTGAGACAAGTCTTCGGTATCTTTAGATCTATCAAGGAGTAGTGAGTTTTCCTACACAAGGACTATTCAATTCAACAAGCATGAAACTGTGATGATGTAAGAATTTGCTTAATAGCTCATACAAATAACTGAGAACTAGGAATACACATGCTATGAGTTTATTTTATGGCATTTTGGGGGAAGTTGTCTTCTCAAGACAACTCTGGTCTGGTTAATTAATAATATGCAAGTGACAGGAATGCAGAAGCAGGCAGCACCGCCTGACTCCCTGCTTTCTTCTACAAAGTTTGCTTGTAATAATAACTTTTTCATAAGATCGGAAAAAAGAACAAAAAAGGAAAGCATTTAAGGCTAGTCAAGACAAGCATGAAAGTGTATTTGAAAACACAACTTACCTCTGCATCTTCCCCAAAGAATCTATACTTATATCCACACTCCACACATAAAATTGCATCTTTTTGCTGCTGCTTCATTTCTATGTATTGTAACTCTAATGGCGTGTAGATGCATTTGGTTCGTCTGTTAGATGGTTTAGAATCAGAAGTGGAAGTTTTCTGTAAATTTTCATAACTCCTATGTGATGATTCAACATGACTAAGATCCAAAAGTGCCTTGTTCTAGAAAGCAAGAGTTTTGTAGTTTAAAAAGTATTCGCCATTACAACTAGCAACAAATGTTGGCGAGGATGTGGAGAAAAAGGAACTCTCCTGTCTGGTGAATCTTCTCACTGTCCTTTCACCTCTGGCCTGTACCCTAGTTCTGCATGCATAACTATGTGCATCTTTAAAAAAAAAAAAAAACAGAAATATATTATGAAGCATACAATAAATGAAGGTGCCCTACTATTATGTTTTATAAGCAGTTAGCTATTTAACTTTGT